ACCAACCGACAATTATAAAACCTATAAATATTATAGTTTAAGAGGTTTATTTTATTTAGAATTTAATGATAAATTAAAAAAATTGCTAGGATTTAATAAATACAATATTGCAAATATAAAAACTAGTTTAAATATATTGAAAAAGCCAATTCCTACATCAGAATCTGAATCAGAATTGAATATATTACGTAATAACATTGATGACATTAAACATTTTGTAACTGACGTGCAGCCAATTAAAGTCTCTCAAACTATTAATTATTTTCACATATATTGTGATATAATAGAAGAATCTTATTATAATAATAGTAAATTAAATTTATTACGTGTCATACCCACAGCAATTAGCGAAAAAGATGACTTTATGAAATTTGATTTTGATATTAAACATTTTGTACCATTAAAATTTAATGAATTTAATTCAATAAAGCTTTATATAAAAGACGATAGTAACAATGATTTACTACTTAGATATGGTAAAATGATAGCTATATTAATAATAAGACCACAAAAATTGTTTTAAAAATGTTATCATCGTATAATAATAAATTTTATTTATATTTAACAAATAAAAATAATAACTGTGAAATAAATTATTATTTTAATCCACCAATAAAATTTGAAAATAATATGGAATGTGCACTAGAAGAACTAATAATTCCTAAAAAGTTAAGTGAAAAGCAAATTGTTGATAATTTAAATATCCGATTTCATATGAAATGGGTTATGGATCAAGATATAAGACATATTGGTGATCATTCAGAGATAAATTTTATGTACATACCAACAAACACAAATTATACTAAAGGTGATCATATAACAATTGATTATAATTTAGATAAAATTAATTGGGTAGATAGTTTTAAAAAAACAGTAACAGAAATTAATGAAAAAATCGAAGATTTAATACTTGAACGTTTTCCACAAGTTTATTTTTTACCTAATTACCATCCTACATATTTATCTAAAAAATTAGATAATTTAGGAAAACGTGCAAATCAATGGATAATAAACAAATTATCATTTAATTTTAATGAATCTAATAATCAATTTTCATTGACAAATGGTAATTTTGCTATTTATTGTAAAAATATAAAAGGTAATGATTTTGATCACAACTTAAAAATTCAATTACCTGATCCAAATATCACCCCAACTGAATTTATCGCTTTTTATAAATTACGTGGTATTGTTTATTTAGAATTAAACGATACATTACAAAAATTATTAGGAATGAAAGATTACAATACACTTAATCTACCACAAACAATTAGATTAGGGGGTGGGTATTACGAAGGAAACCCATCATATATTAGTGAAGAAATATTTAGAAAAAATATGGAGATTGTGCAGCCAATTATATCCAATACTAAACCAGTAGATATTAACAATACAATTCATTATTTACAAATATATTGCGATATTGTTAAACAATCCTTTTTTAATAATAAAAAAGTTAGTTTATTAAGAGTTATACCCACTTACATAAATGAAAATGATAATTTTATGAAATTTAGTTTTAAACAAAAAAGTTTTCTACCAATAAAATATAATGAAATTCATTCTATACAATTAAAAATAACTGATGATAATGATAATAATTTGTTAATAAATGAAGGAAACATATTAGTATTACTTATATTTAGACCTAAACGACTATATAGTTAGTTAATATTTTGTCTTTGACATGTTCACATTAAATAAAAATGCATGATTACACAAAATATTATTGTAATCAAGCAAAGCAAACTAATCAAACTGGTGCTGGACAGCCTATACAAGGCATAAATCAATTAGAACCTAATAATTTTGATTTTTTACCATTTAAAACAAAACCAATTTCTACTAATAAAATTGCAAATAAACAATCTGGTTTAAAGCGTAAACCTAGAAATAAACCACCACGTCGTCGTTCTAGGAAAAATATTACTAAAAAAATAATTAAACGCAAGTCTAAAAAATCTTGTCGTCGTAAAATCAAATCAAAAAAATTGGATATATTTATGTAAAATGAATGAAATATTAAAAAACGAACTTGATTTATTTCAACGTATGCCATATCAAGGTGCCATTGAAGGTTCTCAAATAATACAATATCGTCCAAAAGCGCCTATTGCTGATACAAATACTATAGAGTTTGAAATCCAGGCATCTACAGATGAATACATTTATATGCCTGATATTTTTTTATGGTTAAAATACAAAGTAATAAATCAAAATGGCAATGATTTTGCAGATACTTTAGGAACTGAAGATAATTATAGTCCTGTGAATTATGTACTTAACACTGCATTCGATCAATTAGCAATATATTTAGGAAATACTTTAGTGTCTCAAGCATCTAAAAATTACAATTACCTATCATTTATTGAAGCTGTAACTAATATTACTAATATATCAAATCAATCAATTAGTCCAAGTGGATTTGTTACATCATATTGGAATAGTGATTATGAGTATGACAAACCTGACCCTATTTTGTTAAAAATGGTACGTAAAAGTACACCAGTGTCTTTGTATGGTAAATTACATGGTCCTATTTTTACAACTAATCGATTGTTAATTAGTGGTGTACCAATAAAATTGATTTTTACAAAAGCACCGCCTTGTTGGCCTGTTATTGGAAAAGATGGATGGTGGACAAATGATACATTTCCTCATTTAAAAATAATGGACATGAGTTTGTTTGTAAGAAAAGTAAAAATTGCACCAAACATTTTAAATGCTCACGCGCAAGCATTGCGTTTATCACGAGCAATTTATCCTATTAAAAGACCATTTACTAAAGTTGTAAATTTAAGCGCTGGACAATCATCATTTAATATTGATAACGTAATAATTGGACAACTGCCACATAAATTAATTTTAGGATTAGTTACAGAAATTGCATATAATGGCAACAATCGTTATGACCCTCTAAAGTTTTCACATAATAATCTTACTTATTTAGCATTAAATGTTAACGGAGAAATGCTACCTAAGCTACCTTTTCAACCAAATTATGATATACACTATTATACTCGAGAGTATCACGATTTTCTATTAAATATTGGTGCAAATGCAGTAAATTTTCCTCCACCTATTGATTATACAAATTATAAAACTGGTCGGTGTTTATATGCATTTAATTTAAATAGTGATTATAGTTTTCCAGAAAATTACATAAATGTACCAAAAAGTGGTTATATTAATATCGATATTAAATTTAATGAAAATTTAGCAAACGCATTAAAACTTATAGTTTATGCTGTTTTCGATAACACAATTGAAATTGATGAAAATAGAAACGTTACTGTAGATTACTCATAATCATGTATACAAATGAAATAATGAGTTATATTAAAAAAGATAAATATGTTTCAAAAGAATTTTGCGGTGTTAAATCATTAGACATGCTACCAAAATATAAAATTAAAAAGCCTTGTGGATTTATTGTTAATACGCAAAAATCAACGTTTCCAGGAGAACATTGGGTTGCAATATATTTACCTAAGACGGGACCAATAGAATACTTTGATTCATTTGGATTTCCTCCAAGACATAAAGAAATAATTAATTTTATTAAAAATAATGGAGACAATTATATATATAATAAATTTCATATACAAAATATAAATAGTTTAACTTGTGGAAAATATTGTTTATTTTATATAATCTTACGTTCAAAAAAAGTTAAATTAAAAAATATTATAAATTTTTTCTTTAAAAATACTAAATATAACGAATTTATTATTTTCTATATTTTTAAAAATAAATAAATATTTTAAAAATAAAATCATGAAAACTGTTAAATTTAATGATAATATTCAAGTAAAAATTATGTATGTTTGACCATATGCCTCTAAACAAGCTAGAATATCTAACTGGCATTGGATTGTATGGGACAGACGTCTTCATGAATTTAAATGCAAACTTATCGGAGAAAATATATCGTACGTTTTGGAAAAAGAGTTTAGAGATAAAATATTTAATGAACGTTTTAATAAAATAACTTAAATATAAAAATAAAAATCAAATTTTAACAAATATAAACTTTTTGTTTTATTTCTATTAAACAATTACAAATAGGACAATTTGATATTTTTAAATTACAGTCTGTACAAGTTAATTGATGACAACATGGCAACAATACACTATTTATTTCATTTACGTAACATATTTTACATAGTAATTGGTCATTTATACATTTATTATTTGTTTCACATATTATTTGATGATTTATATTTTCATTAGTTATTTTTAAATTATTAATTTTTGAAATCAATTCTTCGAACTTGGGTAAAAGTACTTTGTTTCGCTTTTCACTTTCATGTATTTCAACACATGTTTTGATAAATGTTTGACTTTTCTTTTCGTTGAGATACTTGCATGTCGGGTAATATTTTGCATGTTCTATCCATGGATCATCACCTGGTTCCCAACAATAAAGTCCACCATTACATTCAAAGCATTTCATAATATCTTCATGGCCAACATAATATAAACCAGCATCTGCAAACCGATTGAAGTTGTTTGATATTAATTCATCTAAAACACAATTTTCAAATGAAGAAAGTCTATTTTCAAATAAATTATAATTAATATCTAGTGAATTCATTTTTAACTGTTAGAATAATGCAATTTCGCCTTCTTAAATACTATTTAATAATCTAAAAAATAAAATTATTTAATTGATTTTTATTGGTTGTTTATTTAAGGTAAACATGTTTATAATAAAGTGAAGGCTAACAACTTTTACTGTTATACATTATTATAATATAGTATAGTGTTTAATGCAATGTAATGTAATTATTATTAATATAATAATTGTATAAATTTTTCGTAGAGCTTATACCATTCAATTGTTTAATTTTTTCGTAGAGCTAAGTAGACATAAATGTCTATTTTCGTAGAGCTTGTAAAAGTATACAACATATATATATATTAATATAAAATAATAATAATAAAAAACAAGATTTTTATGAACAATAAAAATTATATAGAAATACAATTAATAATAATTAGAAAATAATGGGTAAATTTTGTTGAGTATAATCAATGGCAGTCATCGACATTAACTCCGATTGGTTGGTAGTGTCCGCCATAGACCTCATAGTCAATGCAATAATATTGTTATCACGGGTTAGACCATTGAGTTTGTTAGCTATTTGTTGGATATTTGTATCCGAAATTTGATGGCCAATAAATTTACTGTTCAAACAATAACAAAAAAAATATATAAAATGATATTAAAAAAATACTTAAAGTAAAACTATTTCAAACAATTAATTACTTACTAATTCACGGATTCGGGTAATGTATTATCAATTATCAGATCAGTATTATTGTCATCAATAGTATTGAATATAATAAGTCCTAATTTCAATCCCGGTCTCAATGTATAGCCTACTGTGCGATTCAATTGTCTAACATTTAGACTATTTGCATACCGTTTACTATTTTCAATAAAATCTATAAAAAAAATTATATCCATATATATATACTATATATATATATATATTCACAATAAATAGATTATAATTAATTATTATTATTACCTAATATATCGGTGCAAGTGATGGCAAAAGCAAAATCCTGTATAAGTGAAACCATTAGCTGAACGCCGATAACATTGGCCTCGGATGTCAGGGCCGGACCACCCGAATAGCCGTGTAATATGGGTGCCGAATGTTGTACGAGTGGACACCTGTTGTCGTCAATAAACGATGGATATATATGTCCAGATTGGCCACACTGTTGTTGCCGAACAGTAATACCCGTTGTCTGTATAATACCCGATTGACACGATTTTTCGCCTGCGGTCTGTGTCGGACCAATACTGGCCACTGGTTTGCCAAAAATATCGGTTGTCTTGGTGTCGAACGGTTGGGCGCGAAAATAATCTTTTCGCGGATTCATTAGCTGAATCAGTGCCAGATCCCGGTGCGGTTCACAATAGACTACCGAAGCCGGCAATAGCAACTCAAGCCAACCATCAAAATACATAATCAATTGGATTAAATGACTTCCTTGGACTACATGTGCATTAGTAATAATAGACATTTCCATGGCTTTCAACCGAAATCCGCTACCATTTCCAACTATTTTCTGGTTATCATTTAGTGACGGTACCATTATTTGGACAACTGATTGGTCGCACTGGAACTTAACGCTATCGATATCAATGTCATCATCATTGATGATAGTATGGGCCGATCGTATTGTTGTTGTTGGCCACCGATTCGGTAATGATTTAAACCAATAGGTTTGAAACCATTTGCCATTTGAAGACAACAACAACAGTTGGTTACTATTATTGTTGCTATTTGTTTGACACTTATTGTATGCCATTATCGCCGCCACCGATAGCGATGATAACAGTGATGATGGTATACATAATACACTTAATAATCTGCAAATAATATTATCATATATTTTATTGTTATATTTTATTTTATATATTTTTTTTAATTATTATTATTATTTTAGTATTGAATTATAACAGAAACTAACATATGATATCCTATAGTAGACCTGAATTTATACATAATTGAAAACATATGATAATAATAAACACTGAATTATTATTTTTTTTTTTTGTTAATAAATTTATAAAATCATTAAACAAATATTTAAATTTAAATATTAGAAACAAATGGTTTTGTCTCGTTTTTATTAATTAATTAATTAATTATTTTTGTTGTTGTTTTATATTAATTGTGATGATATTGATAACCCATTTAATACATAGTTTGCAAATATTGTCATTGATTTTATTAAAATTTCTGTTTATTATTATTATTATCAATATATTGTATAAATTATAAAAAAAAACTCATTTAATTTTATAGTCAATTTAAATATATGCATATTATTGTTTTTTTTTGTTATACATTAGATTTCTAACAACAAAAATAATTATATAACAATAAAAAACTGAAAAATTCAAATTTAATTATAAGTATTTATGTTAATTTTTTTTCTGCTAATTGTCTGTCTAATATTATAATTACTATATATAAAAATTAATTGTAATATTAAAATTGTATACAAAATTAATTAATTAATTAAATGATTATACACTTAGTCTACAATAATTAGAGTAATAAAAAAATTATTTAGTTTTTTTTAAATAATAAAAAATAATAAATTTATTAGTAATTATTAAATATTATTGGTAACAGTCAATTGATAATATAATAATTGATAATTAAATTATCATATCTTATGAAAACAGACAACAAAAATTATTTAAATAAATAAATATTTAAAAATAAAAATTAAATAAAATATACATATAATTTAAATACTGTATAGTGAAAAAACTAATAATGATATAAAAATTAATTAATTAATTATATACATTATATATATATTTATATTTAAAAAAATAAATCAAAAAACTACTGGCAAAACATCATCAGTGGATACAATCGTATTGTAATCAATGCTTTTGATAGTATTTTTAAAACCATTACTACTACGACTACGACTACGACTACGACTACCACTACCACTACCACTACCACTACCACTACGACTACCACTACGACTACCACTACGACTACCACTACGACTACCACTACGACTACCACTACGACTACCACTACGACTACCACTACGACTACCACTACGACTACCACTACCACTACCACTACCACTACCACTACCACTACCACTACCACTACCACTACCACTACCACTACCACTACCACTACCACTACCACTACCACTACCACTACCACTACCACTACCACTATCACTATCACTACCACTACCACTTAGGTTAGGTTAGGTTAGGTTAGCTATAGTAAAGAACACCCGTTGTTGTTGATGGTATGTGCCGATCGTATTGTTGATGTTGTTGTTGGCCACGGATGCGGCGGTGATAATAATGGTGTGAATCTATTGGTTTGAAACCAATTGTCAGACGACGACGACAACAACAGTTGATCCATACGTTTACGTTGGCTATCAGTTTGCCATTTCTTCTTCTTGTTGTATGTCATCGCCAGCAGTGATGATGGTATAGATAATTCACTCAATAATCTGTATAAAAAATATTATTTATATATATTTTAATTGGTATATATATATATATATTATCTAAGATTATATTTATATATATACAGATACTGCCAATTAAAAGTTTAAATTTGAGTAATATCATATACAGTTAACTTTACACTAAGCAAGGTAACTTAATATACAGTTACCTTATATTAGGTAAATTATATAAAGTACCTTGCTAAGTTATTACATAATATTACTCAAATTTAAACTTTTAAGTGGAATAACAGTATAGTAAGTAACACCTATGATATCCAATAGTAGTAGTAGACCTGAATTTATACATATTTTTCTATTACTATATATTAATATATACAGTATATAAATAAATTAAATTATAAATTTGACAATAAGTTTAGTCAACAAAACAAAAACAAAACAAAAAATTCAATTTTAAATATTAGAAACAAAATTATAAGTTTTAGCTTTTATAATTTCAATACATTGTTTTAATGCATGCAATCAAATGTTATATACATAATGTATATACATATATCGCACGAATACAATTGTTAACTAAAATATTTAAATTTTTTTCATTGTATTTCATTTTGTTTGGTTTGTTTGGTCCCAAACAACATCAGTGGTATTTATTGGTAGACGTATTTGTTTAGTTAACGGTCAGGAATGCGATACTATCGATAATATCCGATTGGCTAATAATAAGGCTAAAATCTATGTTGTAAGCACCGTTTTTTAAATTATTTACACGCGCTATTGTTTCAATCATTTTAATTATATTTCACGCGCTTTTGATAGCTATTACTATTATACAGTAATCATATAATACATTTGTATATAATCATTATAATTAGGTTAAGGTTGCGGTCCGAACACCAGGTTAGGTAACGGAGCGAACACTAATACAATAGATTAGGTTAAGTTAACATTTTTGTAAATAGGTTAGGTTAGTTAAATAGAAAATGATCTTATTTTTGCTTAAACTTATCTACTTTTAATTTATTAATTATAAAAATACGTGTAAATATCGCGTGAAATACAATTAAAATGATTGAAACAATAGCGCGTGTAAATAATATAAAAAACGGTGCTTACAAGATAGATCGGCTCCAATAATAATAATAATAGACAGCAAATCAGATTGTATGCCATTATCATCGACAGTGATGATGATGATGATGGTATAGACAATAATACAGTCAATAATATGTAATTGATTTTATTTTTAAAATATTAATTTTTTTGTAAGTATATATCTCAAACAACAATAATAATAATTGCAATAATATTTAATTTTTTTTTTTTTGGATATATATTTGATGTTTATTATTATAAATTAATTATTAATGATATAATCGATTGCAACAAAAAACCAGTTGAGAATGCTTCAAAAGCATTTCCATACGAATTCCTTGACTTAAAATAGAAAAAAATAAACAACAAAAAAAGTTTTTGACACTATTTTCTCTATGTTCCTAATAAAATAAACTTTAAAAAATTTTAAAAAAAATCAAAAAAAAATCAAAATTTTTTTTATTAATTATTGGACACCATTTTGTTTAATTTCCTGAAAAATAAACTTAAAAAATCAAAAAAAAACAAAAAAAATGTGTAGCTGAACGTGGATTCGAACCTATGTCCTCGTGGGACAGACAGACCGACAAACAGACTTATAGAATGCATATACGTATTCCTTTCAGGAATTCGTGAAAACTAACCGATTGTTTATTATCGACAATGACATCATCAATGAATACATTTAAAGTTAATACAAAAAATATTTTTAAAAATACAATATAAGATTATAAATTATATATTAGGATAACATAACAAAATAATAATAATATACAATACAATAATAAAATTATAAAACTATCAAATTGTATCAAACTTTTTTTTTAAAAAATAAAATTAATTTCATGGTATTAATCGTTAGTTAGTTAGTAAATTAATTAATGTATGTATTGTTGTTACACACGTGCAAAATAATACATATTTATACACACATATAATAATAATAATAATAATAAGTTTATTATATTATCTGTTTTGTTTTTATTGTATTTTATTTTAGTTTTTTTTAAAAATAAGTATTACTATCATTACTAGCTTTACTAGCACCGGTAGTTTTGTTGCTGTATTTTTTTTACTTATAATTGAATTATAAAACTATTCATACAATGTTTTTTTTTTTAAAAAATTTTTTAATAAATATATAATTATTTTTTTCCTCAGATCAATGGCTAAACTATATATACAATTATCAGTTGGTTGGATGGCCTACAACCACAACAACAACAACAATAAGCTATCGTTTATCTGTCAATCGTTTCGGTCAACAACAACCACCAGTTACCGCCGAGGACTGGCCATAGTAAAAGCAAACAATCGGTATCCGTGTCTTAGATCGGCGGTGGCGCTTATGGACAACAATAACGGCGCCGATAATAATAATAATGATTTCGATATGATTGCAATGAAAAAGCGTTGCATCCGATCGATAGGTCATGTTTTAAGACCCGTACTCGAAGACCGGGATTACGATAGCAGCGGTACGGGATCTGGTGTTTTTGTTGCCGACGTCGACAATCGTCTACTGTTAACCTGCTATCATATGGTCAGACAGCGGCCGTTTGTTTGGATAGTCTATCCGAAAGCCTACCGAAATCTGGTAGTAAAATATCGACTAATAAATGCCGAAGTCTTGTACGTCGAACAGCACTGGGATCTGGCATTAGTCCGACTACAGGAACTTCCAGCACCTGAATATAATACAATGAAACCAATGGTTATGGCCAGTCGTGATGATGATAGTAGTATTGGATTTGGCGAACCGGTAGCTGTACTGGGCCATGGCAATGGTATACTGTTTCAACTGCAACCGGGTATGGTTAGGATAGCGAGTGTGGACAACCATTTGATAACATTGGACTATTATGCCAGTGTTTCGACGTTTAACGATCGCCAGCCAATTGTAACGCACAGTACAATATGTGGACCGGGATTTTCGGGTGCACCTCTAATCAATATCCGGGGCCGATTGTCGGGATTAGTTTGGGGCGGTTATCTAAAATGTGGACAGGAATCGTTTTCAGTCGACTATCAAACAATCAATGGTATTGAAAAAAAACAATATATATATATATCAGGGTTGCGATAGGTTTTCGATTTCAGGGGGTTATAGGGGGAGGGGTAAAATGGCAAAAATATCGGGGGAGGGGGTAAAGGGTGGGGTGAACAATTTTTATTGCATTATTAAGCGGCAATTTTTGCCAAATTTGAGTAAATTCCCAATAACTTCCCAGTAAATTCCCAGTAATTTTCAAACGAATTCAAGTAAATTGTATAATTTCCATTAAATTCCCAGTAAATTTCCAATAAATTCCAAAAAAAAAATATTATTAGTATATGTTATACATATAAAAAAAAATTTTAACAAATAAATGTTGTTTAGCTCTATGTCTAACCAATAACAACAACAAAAAATTGCTGACAGTATTACTGAAAATTTTATTTATTTAATTTTAACAGAGTTTATCACTAGAGCATTGAATTATGAAAGCAATGGCATAAAACATAACCGTCTGATGAAACGGTATGAACGGGACATCAAAGAGCCGGACACCACACGGCTATTGGGTTTGATATTGTCTACACAACAACCGTTTTCAGATAGTTTTACTGTCCGATCGGTTTTGCCCACTGTTTCAGATGAAACAAAGTTTGTAAACCAATTAATAAATAAATTTTGATTATATATTTTTTTGTAAAATTTTTTAATAAATATATTTTATTTTGGGTTTGTTTTTATCATGTTTTACACCAGAAATATTATCGGCTCACGTGTTACGAAAGTTTTTGAACACGTGTTCAACAATATTGATGTCATCCGATCGGCTATCGGTACTAATCGGGTAATTAAATTGTCGATTGAATTACCCACTGATGATGACAGTAGTAGTAGTAGTAGTAGTAGTAGTGGTAGTCAAGGGACAGTTAGATATGACAGCATCAGCACTATTAGCATCAAAACGATAGCACCGGTCGATAGCCAAGGTTTTAGGATTAAACCATTAGTTATTTAAACAAAACAAACAAAAAAATGTAGTTTTTTCATATTATTGTATAATTAAAATAATAATAGTTTTCTAATCAGTTATTAATTATAGTTTGCTATTTTAAATAGTTTTAAATATTTTACAATATTCTACATTATATTTAATTAATTATTTTGTTTTATTTATATTTTTTTTGAAATAAATACCATTTTATTTTTTTATTAGTATAGTGTAGAAAAAATAAGTGTAAATATAAAATATATATAACAAATTGTTATTAACAATACAAAAAATAAATCAATCAATAAATAATAAGATTAAAAATATTATTAAAAAATATTGTAAAATACTTATTATAATTACTAACATTACAGTGAATTATTTAATTTATACAGTAATTAATAATAAGAATTTAATTAATTTTCAATTTATTATATATTTATAATAATCACAAAATTAATGGCATAATACTAATGTTGTGTTCATCGATGGTTTCTATAGTATTGATGTCAATGGTTTTCATACTGTCCTTACTATCACTACTACTACTACTGTCATCATCTATGGTAGGCCTAGTAGTCACTCTGATTTGCTGTCTATTATTGATAGCCAATCGGATATTATCGATAGTATCGCATTCCTGACCGTTAACTAAACAAATACGTTTACCAATAATACCACTGATGTTGTTTGGGACCAAACAAACCAAACAAAATGATTATAATATTATGATAACAATAATATATATAAATATATATATATATATATATATATAATTATAACAAACATTGCATCAGTTGAGGCCATCGGTAGTGCCGACTGTACAGTAAAATTACCGGAAATCGGTTGTGAATCAACTATTAGACCCATTAGTCGTCTAATGGACTGAATATCCCATTCAAATCGTTTTCTTAGACGGATTTGTTTTCTGCCATCACTTTCATAAACTATAGACCTATTGATAAACGCTTTGTATTTTTGAAAAACAAAACAAAAAATATTAATACAACAATTTTTAAAAACATATTAAACACTATATCTATTATTTGCCTGAAAAATACCTGATAATGTTTTATAGTCGATAGCATAGCTTATGAGAAATCGGTCAATAATACCGCCCCAAACAAGACCACACAATTGGCCACTGGTATCGATGAGTGGACTTCCCGAAAAACCCGGTACATTGCTAGTATTGTGTGTTATGTACGGTAATTGTTCGCCAAACGGTACTGTACTAACGTAATACTTATACGGAAGCATATTGTTGTCGACCTGAGGTGTCATAATCATACCCGGGTGTAGTTGAAAGTATACAGCACAACCATGACCTAGCATAGCTACTGGTGCGCCAAAATCGTTGCTCACCGGACTAGTAGTTAGCGGCATTACTGTAGACGTATTATACACTGGTGATGGCGCCTCACGGAGCCGTACTAATGCCAAATCCCAGTGCGGCTCTACATACAGGACGTCGGCCACATTCATAGGACATGTCTGTAATACCTGATTATCATAGCTTCGGACATATTGTATCCAAACAAACGGATTATTTTTGACCACATGATAACAGGTTAACAGTAGACTATTGTTGTCGACAACAAAAACGCCGGTTCCTTCACCGCTAATATCATACATATCTTCAATTTTAATTCGTATAACACAACCTATCGATCGGATGCATTGGTTTTTCAGATCAATCATATCGTAGCCATTATCGGCAGCCATAAGCGCCGCTGATCTAAGACACGGATACCGATTGTTGTTTGCATTTGTAGTCAATGATCGGCCACTGGTTGTTGTTGTTGACCGAAACGATTGCCAGATACAGGATAGCGGCTCAGTGTATGCCATCCATACCATTGATAATGGTATACATGATATACCTATTGATCTGTAAGTTTTGATATACAGTATATTGTATATACAATATATATATATATATATATATATATATATATATATATTGTTGTGGGCGGTTTGGTTTAACCTTATGGATCAGTTGTCTAGCGTGGGTCGGTATGAGACCAACAACTGATAGTATCACTCAATTCCCACAACGGTATCAATTGATCGGTCAAAGACTTCTCAATTGATATAGTGATCACTTGAAAGGCACTATTCGTGTCAAACAAAATGATGTACAGATCTGCAGTAGTGGTGACCGGAGTGTAGGCCAGGGATCGATCCGTCAGTACTATTGATAACTTCTATAACTTGTAGGGATGGCCAGCGAAAGGGTAGACTTGAAGTGTTGATCGATCAGCCAATGCTTGCTTAGGAGGAATGGTAGATATGATGTGGTAATCGATCCAATGATTAGGTGAAGACAATAACTTAGACACACTTTAGTTACAATACTTTATTATAGTTAAGACAATTAAAATAGTAGTTAAAACAATGGTTATAAAAATGGTATAATTTAAGAGCACATGTATGTGAATGAATGCAATGGTGTATACAGTATAATGACTGATAGTAATGGTGGGTAAGATTGCACTGTAATGGTGGGTGAGATTGCACTGACTGTCTGGTGTGTCAGTACTGGTATTTATAAGAGAGGAATGTATAGGTATTTGGTGTACGGCTATTGGTTTGTTTGAATATAAGGACAGTTGTATTGATCGATCACTTGGCGCCAGTTATTGGTGTCATTGATCGATCAATCATAGGAAACGGTAGGTATTGAGCGATCAAAATAATTAATGAATTCAAAATAAGGGATTAAATGCACAAAAATAGGTATCAATAAAATAATACAAAAGTTAAACATTAAAATTAAGGCTAAATAATATATGAAATATGAGTTTCTCAACACTCCCCGGCGCTTTAAGACTGGTCGCGGAGGTAATACGATTCAAGTTGTCCGACGTGAACCAGGATCGGGTCGGTTGAGTTGTCCAATGGTTTAATGTAAGCGTTGACAGGTCCGGGTATTGATGCGATGACATACGGTCCTGTATATTTCGGTGATAGTTTTTTCTTGTCCGGATGATTTGATGGTAGGCGCCGTTTGACCAATTGATCGATCTTGAGATCGATCGGCTTATGGTGTTTGTCGTAAGCGATCTTAGCTCTTGATTTACTACTGTCCGTGCGTTGTTTGGCCAGTTGTCGGGCATCAGGTAAGTTGTCGGTTGTATTGAGAGAATCGGAGCCAAACATGAGGAACGACGGCGAGTATTCTGTAACGGTATGTATAGTATTATTATAATTAGCTGTCACATCCTTTAATAGAGTAGTCCATTTGCGGCGAGGGTTGGCCAGTGATGCCAGGATCAATCCCTGTTTGATCGATCCATTCACCCGTTCATTGGTGCCGTTAGTCTGCGGATGATATGTAGATGAGAATCGGTGTCTGATGTTATGTTTGGATAAAAATCGTTTAAAATCTCTTGATTTGAATGTCTTGTAATTGTCGGTAAGTATGGCTTCAGGTGTTTGTCCAGTTCCTTTTATGAGATCGATCAATAGGGATATACATGCAGGTGCTGAGTTGGTAGGCGTAGCTTTCGTCCATACATGTCGGGAGTGATGATCGATCACAACCTGTATATACTTGTGTTTAGTGTTGGCGGCTTCGTTGCCCATAACTATGGTATCCATAGCTATTAGTTTTAGTGGTGCATCAGGTGTCGGAAGTGGTTGGAGCTGTCCATATGATGGATGATTAGTTGGTTTAGCCAATTGACAGATATGGCAGGACTTGACATATTGCTTGATGTCGTGAAACATATCGGGCCAGTGATACTTAACTTTTATTTGTTTTGTAGTGATTCGGATGCCAGGATGACCACTGTTGTCGTGTGCTTCTTGGAGTAATGGGTAGACAAGACTGTGAGGAATCACTGATAAGGTACGTCCATATTTGATGATCGATTGAAGTGTGGACGTGTCCACTGAGCTGAATGTTGATCGATCTGCTTCTGGTGTTTGATCGTTTGGATCGATCGATGTGAGTGCTCGAGCAGGTGCTTCATATCGCACTTTGGTTATGGTGTCCTGTTTCTGATGCTGTAATATCACTGCTTCTCTGATGAATAGGTTTACCGGAGCGCGGGATAGGGCGTCGACGTGAGCCATTTGGGATCCCGGTTTGTGTATCACTTCAAATGTATAGAGGCTTAACTCTTCAGACCAGCGGAAGAGTCGTTTTTTGGTCGACTGGAAGTTGATGAGCCATTTGAGAGCCTTGTGGTCAGTATAGAGTGTAAACTTGACTCCTTCCAGATAGATATGGAAGTATCTGATTGAATCATAGACGGCCAGACATTCCAGTTCGGTGACCGTGTATCGGGTTTCGGCGTCGGCAAGCTTCCTGGAATAGTAACCAATAGGTCGATCGGCTTGTATAAGGATACCTGCTATTCCAATGGTTGACGCATCAGTATGTAGATCGATCGGTAGGTCCGGATTGTAGATAGCGCGGACGGGTTCCGATCCCATTAGTTGTTTTAATGTATTGAATGATCGATCACATTGATCGGTCCATTCAAACTCTTTGGTTTTAGATTTCTTCATGAGTGATGTAAGTGGTGCTGTGATTGCTGCGAAGTCGGGAATGTATTCGCGTAAATAGTTGGCCAGTCCGTGAAAACGTTGAACTCCCTTTTGATCGATCGGTGTCGGGAAATCCACTATAGCTTTAATCTTCGAGTCTGGAGGTCGGACTGATTTGCCATCAATTAAATGTCCTAAGAATTCGATGCGGGTTTTGGAGAACTCGCACTTCTCGCGTTTAAGACGGGCGTTGTTTTCGGCCAGACGTTTAAGTACTTCGGCCAGTAGATCGTCGTGTCGCTCTTGAGTTGAGGCATAGATGATGATGTCATCCAGATATGAGATGACACCATTGTTGTGAAGATCTCCGAGGATTTTACGGACAACGCGGTGGAAGGTGGCCGGACTGTTCTTCAGTCCGAACGGTAAGACAGTCCATTCAAAGTGACCGTCGCGGGTGACGAATGCTGTTTTGGTGATGTCATCGGGTGCTACGGCGACTTGCCAGTAACCAGAGGCGAAGTCAAGTTTTGAAAATACGATCGATCCTTGGAGTCGATCGATCACATCCGCGATGACTGGAAGTGGTGTCTTGTCAGCGATCGTTATTGAATTGAGTCGACGATAATCGATGCACAAACGATAGGTGCCGTCTTTTTTGGGCGCCAAAGTAATCGGTGCGGCGTACGGACTGACGCTTTCCCGGATAAGACCTTTTGATAGGAGGTCCTTCACTTGGCGGGCAGTCTCAGCTGCCATTTGATGAGATTGACGGTACGGGCGCTGTGCGGTCGGTTGTTGATCGGTCAATACAATGCGATGCTCTTCGATGTTGATTCGGCCTAAATCTGTTGAATCGGCGGCAAAAATGTGTTGATAACTCGAGGACGGATGAAGTGATTTGATACTTGAATACCAGTAGATGTATTGCCATTGTTAGGATTAGGTGGATCTCTAGGTTGAGAACCAGTTGGTCTATGAGGACAGTCTTTGTGGAAATGCCAGGCAGTAGTTCCACGGTCGCGGCATATGCGGCACGAATATGGCGGCCTATTCTTTGATCGATCAGATCGATCTGATCGATCATTTGGATTCCTCGGGGGTTTCTTGTCTTTGTCTTGAGAGAAGTGAGATCTGGGTTTATAGTGATGTTTTGTTTTGTCAGCTTCGATGTCCTGTGCCATCTCTAGCCAAGCGGTAGTAGTTGTGAATCTGCGGCCATAGAAATATTCTCGATATTCAGATTGTAGTCCTTCGGTGAGGAGGTTAGCTCTGTCGCTGTCGGTGTAGCCTTTGACGCGACGAAGAAGTTTCAGCTTCTCGTCGTAATATGTCTTCATTGGTTCGGACCGTTGTTGTCGTCGTCTGTTAGCGACTATGACTGGAGGTACGTCTGAATGTGCGTAACGGTCGAGTAGGAGTTGTCTTGCTTTAGGCCAACTGATGTCTTGATCGATCAAAACATCTGAGCCATAGTAGTTGGCGGCGTCATCGGACAGGAACTCCATAATGTCGTCCACTTTGTCTTCATCGGAGTGGAGTCGGAAGGATCGTTCAAACATCTGTATGAACGCCTCTATCGTCAGATTTGAATCTTGTGTTCCGCTAAACTTCGGGATCTTCCGTTGTTTAGTATGCGTGGGAACTCTTCGATCGATCCGATCGGTCAGATCGATCTGATCGGTCGTGTTTGAGGTGCTCTGTTGTGCCGGTTGGAGGCCTGTGTTGACAGTGGTATTGTTTTCGTTGTCAGACATGTTGTCGATGATGTCTTGATTGTCTTCAGTGACGGGAGTAGAGTTGAGGAGATAGCGTGTTCCACGTCGTGTAAGGCCTGTAGTTAGGGATGTCATCAATCGCAGGTAAGGATCTAATAAGTGTGATCTGTGCCGACTGCGCCAATTTTGTTGTGGGCGGTTTGGTTTAACCTTATGGATCAGTTGTCTAGCGTGGGTCGGTATGAGACCAACAACTGATAGTATCACTCAATTCCCACAACGGTATCAATTGATCGGTCAAAGACTTCTCAATTGATATAGTGATCACTTGAAAGGCACTATTCGTGTCAAACAAAATGATGTACAGATCTGCAGTAGTGGTGACCGGAGTGTAGGCCAGGGATCGATCCGTCAGTACTATTGATAACTTCTATAACTTGTAGGGATGGCCAGCGAAAGGGTAGACTTGAAGTGTTGATCGATCAGCCAATGCTTGCTTAGGAGGAATGGTAGATATGATGTGGTAATCGATCCAATGATTAGGTGAAGACAATAACTTAGACACACTTTAGTTACAATACTTTATTATAGTTAAGACAATTAAAATAGTAGTTAAAACAATGGTTATAAAAATGGTATAATTTAAGAGCACATGTATGTGAATGAATGCAATGGTGTATACAGTATAATGACTGATAGTAATGGTGGGTAAGATTGCACTGTAATGGTGGGTGAGATTGCACTGACTGTCTGGTGTGTCAGTACTGGTATTTATAAGAGAGGAATGTATAGGTATTTGGTGTACGGCTATTGGTTTGTTTGAATATAAGGACAGTTGTATTGATCGATCACTTGGCGCCAGTTATTGGTGTCATTGATCGATCAATCATAGGAAACGGTAGGTATTGAGCGATCAAAATAATTAATGAATTCAAAATAAGGGATTAAATGCACAAAAATAGGTATCAATAAAATAATACAAAAGTTAAACATTAAAATTAAGGCTAAATAATATATGAAATATGAGTTTCTCAACAATATATATATATATATAAATGTCTATCAAATATACAATATTATACTATATATTATACAATTTTTGTTTTGTTTAAAACAAACCTCATTTTTATTATAGTTGATGACAATGTATACATCGTATATATTATACACTGTATAATAGGATATTAATAGTTGATATACAAAAATAAACTAATAATTATTATAAATAAAAAACAAATGATACAAATTGTTTAACTGAATATTTAAAAAAAAAATATTTAAATATTTAAAAATAATTAAAAACTAAACAATATATAAATAGAAATATTAATCGCGTTAACAATGTTAGTGGCATTTAAAACAATGTATTGAAATTATAATCTAAAAATTTTGAAAAATTTTATTTCTAATATTTAAATTTGAATTTTTTGTTTTTGTTTTATTAATTGACTAAACTTATTGTCAAATTTATAGTTCAATTTATTTATATACTGTATATATTAATATATAGTAATTTAAAAAATATGTATAAACTCAGGTCTACTACTACTATTGGATATCATAGGTATTACTTACTATACTGTTATACTTAAATAAAAATTTATATAAATAATAATTATTTTTTTACAGATTATTGAGTGTACTATCTATACCATCATCACTGCTGGCGATGACATACAACAAGAAGAAGAAATGGCAAACTGATAGCCAACGTAAACGTATGGATCAACTGTTGTTGTTGTTGTCGTCGTCGTCTGACAATTGGTTTCAAACCAATAGATTCACACCATTATTATTATCACCACCGCATCCGTGGCCAACAACAACAACATCAACAATACGATCGGCACATACCATCATCATCAACGACGATAAGGACACTGACATCGATATTGTGAAGATTAAGAAACAATGCCACAAAATGATTGTCAAAATATATAACAAATCATTTTTGGACAACAATTCATATGAAACATTTGGTACCGGATTTCGTATGAATTTAGCCGAAATGTCGATCATTACTAACGCACATGTAGTACGTGGCAGACAGTTATGTCAAGTGATAATGTATTATGAATCGCTGGTCAAAACAATGGATGCCCATGTAGTCTATTGTGAACCGCACCGGGATCTGGCACTACTGAAACTAATCTACCGGCAAACCGATAGATTTCGATCGAAAGACATAGAAGATCAACGAAGATTACCGAATTCGACAAAACTGAGGACTAGAAATGTTTTCGGTAGACCAGTGACCACTATTGGCTACATTAATCCTACAATTGTGGATGTATTATGTCAGTGGGGCTCATGTCGATCGCTGGGCGTTACTGTTAGACAATTGAGTGATGGGTATGAAATTGATTTGGTTTATGTCGACCAATCGCATCAATTTTGGTCGCATTCGGCACCGTTAGTTGACGGCAATTCGGGCGGTCCGCTTTTGGCATCGGATGGCCAGGTTATTGGTGTTACCACTATGGCTAACGTCAAATCTAGTTTTGCCTTTGCCACTCCTAGTTTCCATGTGTTAGGTAATTATAATAATAATTATTATAATAACCTATATATATACTGTATATATATATATATATATACTGTATATATATATATATATATATATATACTGTATATATATATATATATATATATATTTAGATTTTTATAAAAATGGCAAAAAATATGAGAAAGGAGAGCCAATTAGACAATTAAAACGAAAAAAATACTATGAATTGGACAGTCAGGTCTACAAACGACTGTTGGGTCTAATAGTAGATTGCGAACCATTTTCGGGTACTCTAACAATACAATCGGCACTACCGACGGCCCCAACTGAAGCAGAGTTTGTTTATTATTATTATTATTATCAATAAAATATAAATAAAATATTAAATAGTATAATAATTTTATATATATATTTTTATGTGTGTGTGTTCAGAGGTATTATTGGTACAATTGTTTGGCAAATTAACATACAGGAGATCCACAATATCGATGACATCCAATCGGCTATCGATGATAAACCAGTTATCCGATTGTGGATTAGATATTTTACCATAGATGACGATGATGATGACGATAGTGATAGTGAAACAAATAATAAAAGTAGTGGTAGTGGTAATGGTAGTGGTAGTAGTGGTAGTGGTAGTGGTAGTGGTAGTGGTAGTGGTAGTGGTAGTGGTAGTGGTAGTGGTAGTGGTAGTGGTAGTGGTAGTGGTAGTGGTAGTGGTAGTGGTAGTGGTAGTGGTAGTGGTAGTGGTAGTGATAGTGGTAGTGGTAGTGGTGTTAAAAATACTATCAAAAGCATTGATTACAATACGATTGTATCCACTGATGATGTTTTGCCAGTAGTTTTTTGATTTATTTTTTTTTTTTAAAAATACTAATATATATAATGTATTTATTGTATATAATTAATCAATTAATTAATTTTTATATAATTATTAGTTTTTAATAAGTATTTTTTCACTATACTGTGTGTAAATTATATATATATTTTATTTAATTATATTTTTTAAATATTTATTTTTTTAAAAAAAAATAATTTTGTTTGTTATTATAATTTATTATAGGTTATTATAATTTATACAATATATATTGATAATTTATAATAATAATCAGAAATTTCAATACAATATCAATTATAATTCAAAATACAGCAACAAAACTACCAGTGCTAGTAATGATAGTAATACTGATTAAAAAAAAAACTAAAATAAAAACAAAACAGATAATATAATAAACGTATTATTATTATTATTATTATTATATGTGTGTATAAATATGTATTATTTTACACGTGTGTAACAACAATACATACATTAATTAACTAACTAACTAACGATTAATACCATGAAATTAATTTTATTTAAAAAAAAAAAAAAAGTTTGATACAATTTGATAGTTTTATAATTTTATTATTGTATTGTATATTATTATTATTATTTTTTTTTTTAGTTGTTATGTTATCCTAATACAGTATAATCTTATATTGTATTTTAAAAAAAATATTTTTTGTATTAACTTTAAATGTATTCATCGATGATGTCATTGTCGACTATAATTAACAATCGGTTAGTTTTTTTTTGTTGTTGCAATCAATAATAATTAACATCAAATATATATCAAAAAATTAATAAAAAAAAAATTATTGCAATTATTTTTGTTGTTGTCTCAGATATATACTTACAATAAAAACAAAAAAATTTGAATATTTTTTTTAACAAAAACAAAATATCAATTGCAGATTTTTGACTGTATTATTGTCTATACCATCATCATCACTGTCGATGATAATGGCATACAATTGGCGGACAACAAACAACAATCCAATTAAACAAAAACAACGACAACTACCAGTATTTGGACAATGGTTTCAAACTAAACCTAACAAATCTATACTATCGTTGTTGACAATACCGACAACCAGATCGGCCTATACTATGAATATTGTAGACATTAAGCAACGGTTTAATCTAACAATCGTTAAAATTGGTGTCCAATCCTATATAGACAATACTAGTGTAGTAACAGTTGGTACAGGATTTCGTATAATAAGTACATCCAGTAGTCATCCAATGATGATAATAGTAACCAATGCACATGTAGTCAAAGGTCGTCACCGAGTGATGGTCGAAGTCTATATCAATGATCGACTAATTCAATTGCCGGCATCGGTAGTCTATGTTGAACAGCACAGGGATCTGGCATTGGTTAGACTTATACGCCAAAACAACGATAACTTTCAGCCCCAGCCGATAGTTGGGGCGGAGGCGGCGGCGACGGCAGCCGATGACGATCTTATCGGACAACCAGTAGCATCGGTTGGCCATACATCGGTTCGCGGCGGCCGATCGTGTCAATCGGGTTATGTGAGGGCATCGGGTGTCCAGATTAGACAAATTCACGATCCGTCGACAGTTAGTCTAATATTTACCGGACCCGATCAGCCAGTGTTGGTACACTCGGCTCCTGTATTGCCCGGCTATTCGGGCGGTGCACTGGTCAATAGCGATGCCCATGTTATAGGCGTCCAGTCATCGGCTAATCTTTGCGAAAACATCAACTACGCCGTCCCTAACACCCGATTATTAGGTAACTATCTATCTGTCTATCTGTCTATCTGTCTATCTGTCTATCTGTCTATCTGTCTATCTGTCTATCTGTCTATCTGTCTATCTGTCTATCTGTCTATCTGTCTATCTGTCTATCTGTCTATCTGTCTATCTGTCTATCTGTCTATCTGTCTATCTGTCTATCTGTCTATCTGTCTATCTGTCTATCTGTCTATCTGTCTATCTGTCTATCTGTCTATCTGTCTATCTGTCTATCTGTCTATCTGTCTATCTGTCTATCTGTCTATCTGTCTATCTGTCTATCTGTCTATCTGTCTATCTGTCTATCTGTCTATCTGTCTATCTGTCTATCTGTCTATCTGTCTATCTGTCTATCTGTCTATCTGTCTATCTGTCTATCTGTCTATCTGTCTATCTGTCTATCTGTCTATCTGTCTATCTGTCTATCTGTCTATCTGTCTATCTGTCTATCTGTCTATCTGTCTATCTGTCTATCTGTTTCTACTATAATATTATTATTATTATTATTATTATTATTACAGAGTTTATCGCCAGAGGCATAGCCTATCATAGCCGCGAATCGGATAGACTGAGACAACATTTTAGAAAACTATATGAATTGGACAGTCAGGCGGTGGCGGTGGTCGACGGCAGCGGCAAAAAACGACTACTGGGTTTAGTAGTTAGCAGACAACCATTTACGGGCAGTTTTTCAGTCAAGTCGGCACTACCGACGGTGGCCTCAATCGATGCAAAGTTTGTTTGTATTATTATTATTTTACTATTTTTTAAAAAAAACAATACTAAATGATATTATATATCATTTTATTTGTCTCTATTGTAGTGGTATAATAGGTACACATATTTGGCAAATTAACAATCAGGTGATCAACAATATCGATGACATCCGATCGGCTATCGATGATAATCCTATTATCCGATTGTCAATTAGCAGTATTAGTAGTAGTAGTAGTAGTAGTAGTGATGATAAATATAAAATTAAAACCATTGACTACAATACTATAGTTGTATCCACTGATAGTATAATGCCATTAGTTTTTTGACGTAAAAATTTTGAACAATAGTTTATTTATTTTATAATTAAGATTAATTCGCATTAATAATAGTAATAATAATAATAAGTATTTTACTGAAATATAATAATAATAAATTGTTTTTTTTCAATTATATGGTAATTATTTATAATAGTATTAATACACAATTATAATATACTGTACAGTATTTTTTCATTTAAAGTAATTCAATATTAAAGTCATCCAAGTTTTCAATAGTAATATGAAATGTATGATAAATCGCGTGAAAAAAATATAAATGTATTTTATTTTTTGAATTTTTTTTTTTAAATATAAGTAATTCAATGATAAATACAATCAACAACAAAAAAATTGTTTTTTGTTTTTTTATAGTTTGTTATAAGTATTTCTACTAATTTATTTATATTAATAGCACCGGTAGTTTACAATACAGTAGTTATTCAGAAAATAATGTATACATTATTATCAAATATGATATACAATCGGTTTGTTAACAAACAAACAAAAAAAATAATAAAATATTTTACTAAATATTGTATTCATAAGAAACATATAGTTTATTACAATTTTTATTATTATTATTATAGATCATTGAGTGTATTATGTATACCATCGCCAGTAACAGCACTGTTGGCTATGGCATACACTAATAATAGGCCGTCCATAAGTCAATGGTTACCACAACAACTGGCCAATGACCGAAACTGTAGGTCAGCCTATCGGCAGCCACGGTATTGTCTACGATTGGCTTTTATGGACAGTAGTGTAAGGAACGGTGGTGACGACATCATCGATTTGATTGACATGAAAAACAAGTGCATCCGATCCGTATGTCTGGTTATTAGACCTGAATTAGACGATTATTTAGTCGATAGTGGCAAAGGAACGGGTGTTTTCGTACTAAACAATTGTCTACTATTGACATGTTTTCATTTGGTTAAACAGTCGCCAACCGTATGGATCAAGTATGTTAAACAATATAATAGGGAACGGGTAGTTACAACATGGCGTGCAGAACCGGCCCAGGTTGTCTATGTTGAACCGCACTGGGATCTGGCATTGGTTAGACTGTGGGAACCGCCAACGTTTGTCGGCGATACTATGACCACAATGAAATTGTTGTATACAACTACCAGTGCCGCCGCCACCACCGATAGTATCGGATTTGGCGCCCCGGTATGTACAATCGGCCACGGTAATAGTATAATGTTTGCCATACATCCGGGTATGGTTAGGACACCCCAATTGTTAACCCATCAGCTACTGAACGGTTACAATGTTAGTACCATTGCCTTCGATGAGGAACTACCGTCAGTGATGCACAGTTCGATAATATTGCCCGGTTTTTCTGGTAGTCCACTAATCGATACGGCTGGCCGACTGTGCGGTATTGATTGGGGCGGTATTACCGTCGATCGGAAATCCTATGCAAGCGATTATCAAATATTGAATGGTATTTAAATGTTATAAATAGATATATATATATATACTAGTATATTACGATTAGGGTCAATTTCAGGGGGGGCTATAGGGTGGGGTAAAATGGCAAAAAATAGATAAAGTTTGTATAGTGGTATAGGGGGTGTAAACATTTTTTAATTGCATTTTTAAACGACAATTTTAAGCCAAATTTGAGTAAATTCCCACTAATAATCCCACTAATAATCCCACTAATAATCCCACTAATAATCCCACTAATAATCCCACTAATAATCCCACTAATAATCCCACTAATAATCCCACTAATAATCCCACTAATAATCCCTCTAATAATCCCACTAATAATCCCACTAATAATCCCACTAAATTAAAATATTTTAATTTTAAGTACAGTTATTACTAATAATCCCACTAATAATCCCACTAATAATCCCACTAATAATCCCACTAATAATCCCTCTAATAATCCCACTAATAATCCCACTAATAATCCCACTAATAATCCCACTAATAATCCCACTAATAATCCCTCTAATAATCCCACTAATAATCCCACTAATAATCCCACTAATAATCCCACTAAATTAAAATATTTTAATTTTAAGTACAGTTATTACTAAATATATTTCATTATATGTTACAATTATTATTGATTTTTTTACTAAAAATATATTTTATATATCGATATATTGAATACAGAGTTTATCAATAGGTCTTTGGCTTACGAATCAAGTGGTAGTAAACAAAGTCGACTAAAAAAACTGTTTCCAATAGTATCGGGAAAACAGTTGGCTATTGTTTTGTCGGCTAAACCTACCGGTGATTTACCGGCGATGATGTTGTTAACTGTTGAGGCAGTGCTTACCAATGAAACCAATGAACTACCGTTTGTTTGTTTTTATTTATATAACTAACTATTTGTCTGATATTTTTTGTTTTAAAATTAATCATATGTTTATGAATCCCATTAAACAGATCTATAGTGAAAACACGTATAGTGTCTATCAATGGACAGTTGGTTAACGATATCCGTGATTTGATAGCAATAGTTTCACAGTCACAGCAGCCAACCGTTGAACTGACTGTTAGGGACGACAATCTGAACGATAGGACAGTTAGATTAAATACTTTGGACAGGGATTCGGCATTTATTTTCTAAATGTATTACTAATTACATGTATATATATATATATATATATATATATATATATAATGATAATCATATATGATATATATATAAATACAGTATATTTTATTTGTATGTATGTATGTATAAACTGAACTTTAAATATCTTTAATAATAAACTTTAAATAAATTAATTATTTTAATATATTTTATTAAGTTTTTATTATACAATCTAAATTATAACTTATAATTAACTGTTACAGTATAGTGATTGTATAGTATATGATATTAATTCAACAAAAAATTGCGTGCAAAATATAATTGTTTTTATTTAATTGTTTTTCTATATATATATTAAATAAATTACAAAAATTTAGTTAAAAAATTACAATTTATTTGATTATACAATACAGTATTATGTATACAACATTATTGTCGTCAAAATTAATTAATTATAGGTTTGTTTTTTTTGAATTTTTCTACAATATATTACTATTAATAAAAAAAATAAAATAAAACCAAATTTTGTTTTTTTGAAAAACTATTTATTTACATATTATAGCTCAACGGGTGTATTATGTCTACCATTATCAGTGATGTGGTGGACATACAATAACCCGTTGTTTTCATCATCGGTTGTCAACTACTGGCACCCGTTTCGGACAACATCTAGTAGTGGCCGACAATTGTCTGCCAAAACAAACAATTATCGGTATCATTGTCTTAGATCAGCTGGGCTTATGAACCCAGACATCGATGGTATCGATGCACTAGACATTAAAAACAAATGCATCCGATCGGTAGGTCATGTTTTAAGGCCATTAATGGAAGATTGTTGGACACTGGCCGGTGAAGGAACCGGCGTTTTTGTTGTCGACGACAATCGTCTAATGTTGTTGACCTGTTATCATGTGGTCGCACACCTACCAGTAGTTTGGGTTGAATATGTGAAAAGCTATGTGAATCAGGTAGTAGTCAAATGTCCTTATATGAGGGCCGATGTTATCTATTGTGAGCCGCACTGGGATTTGGCAATACTTCGGTTCCGAAAAACGCCGTCACGAGTGTATAACACGTCGACAACAATGTCGATGACCACCACCAACACCAACGCCGATGCCGAAAGTATCGGATTCGGTGCATCGGTAGCTATGATCGGCAATGGCAATGCTATACACTTTCAACTACACCCGGGTATGATTAGGACACCCCGAGTCGACAACAATATGCTGCCCAATAAGTATTACGTTAGTACAGTACCGTTTGGCGAACAATTACCGTACATAACACACACAACTAGCAATGTCCCGGGTTTTTCGGGCAGTCCACTCATCGATACCAGTGGCCAATTGTGTGGCCTAGTTTGGGGCGGTAGTATTGAACGATTTCTGATAAGCTATGCTATCGACTATAAAACATTGTCAGGTATTTTAAGCGCAATAATAGATATAATATATTATTAAATACTAGATATAAATGATTAATTAATATGTTGTATAAATTTATTAATTGGAAATTTAAAAAAAAATAATAATTTTTGTTTTGTTTTGTTTTATTTCTCTCAAAAATACAAAGCGTTTATCAATAGGGCTATAGTTTATGAAAGTGATGGCAAACAGCAAACCCGTCTAAGAAAACGATTTGAATGGGATATTCAGTCCAATAGACGACTAATGGGTATAATAGTTACTACACAACCGTTTTCCGGTAGTTTTACTGTACAGTTGGCACTTCCCGTGGCCTCAACTGATGCAATGTTTGTTATTATAATAATAATATTTATTATTATTTTATCGAAATATTATAATTATTTATTATTTGTTTGGGTCCCAAACACCAGTGGTATTATCGGTAGTCGTATTTGGAAAGTTAACGGTCAGGTATGCAATACTATCGATAATATCCGATTGGCTATCGATAATAGACAGCAAATTAAAGTGACCATTAGGTCTACCATAGATGATGACAGTAGTAGCAGTAATAGTAAGGACAGTATGAAAACCATTAATACGATACTATCTATCGTTGAACACGACATTAGTATTATGCCATTAGTTTTGTGATTAAAAATTATATTTTATATATATTTATTTTGAATATTTATTTAATTATTACTAGTTTTACCCGCGCAACATGTATAGTATTGCATACTCTTACTAATTGCTTAACAAAATTCTTTATAATGAGACCTATAGATATACATATACAATAGTCAACTACAATTATAATTCTGATTATAAATGACTATTTTGCTATATTTATGCTATCCATATAAACGTCTATAAAAAAAGTTCGCGCTATTAAAAATTGATGATTTTTTTGCTATAATGTTGTATACATGTACAGTTACAATATATGTAAAAATAAATTTACGCAATCAAGAGAAACGTCTTTGAAACTGTTAAGCAATATTAAAATTTTTTAGTTAAAATGTAGAATACATATGTAGTTAAAATCTAAGTAAAAATAAATTTATGCTATCCATATAAACGTCTATAAAAAAAGTTCGCGCTATTAAAAATTAATGATTTTTTTGTATAATGTTGTATACATGTAAAGTTACAATATATGTAAAAATAAATTTACGCAATCATAAAAAACGTCTTTGAAACTGTTAAGCAATATTAGAATTTTTATTTTTTTAGTTAGATTGTAGAATACATATGTAGTTAAAATCTAAGTAAAAATAAATTTACGCAATCAAGAGAAACGTCTTTGAAACTGTTAAGCAATATTAGAATTTTTTAGTTAAAATGTAGAATACATATGTAGTTAAAATCTAAGTAAAAATAAATTTATGCTATCCATATAAACGTCTATAAAAAAAGTTCGCGCTATTAAAAATTAATGATTTTTTTGTATAATGTATACATGTAAAGTTACAATATATGTAAAAATAAATTTACGCAATCATAAAAAACGTCTTTGAAACTGTTAAGCAATATTAGAATTTTTATTTTTTTAGTTAGATTGTAGAATACATATGTAGTTAAAATCTAAGTAAAAATAAATTTATGCTATCCATATAAACGTCTATAAAAAAAGTTCGCGCTATTAAAAATTAATGATTTTTTGGTATAATGTTGTATACATGTAAAGTTACAATATATGTAAAAATAAATTTACGCAATCATAAAAAACGTCTTTGAAACTGCTTATCAATATTTATAATTTTTATTTTTTTAGTTAGATTGTAGAATACATATGTAGTTAAAATCTAAGTAAAAATAAATTTATACTATCCATAAAAACATCTATAAAAAAAGTTCGCGCTATTAAAAATTGATGATTTTTTGGTATAATGTTGTTTACATATACAGTTACAATATATGTAAAAATAAATTTACGCAATCAAGAGAAACGTCTTTAAAACTGCTTATCAATATTTATAATTTTTTATTTTTAGTTATATTGTATAATTCTTATGTAGTTACAATATAATGGAAAATAAATTTATGCTATCAATAAAATCGTCAATAAAAAAAGTTCGCGCTATTAAAATTTGATGATTTTTTAGTATAATGTTGTTTACATATACAGTTACAATATATGTAAAAATAAATTTACGCAATCAAGAGAAACGTCTTTAAAACTGCTTATCAATATTTATAATTTTTTATTTTTAGTTATATTGTATAATTCTTATGTAGTTACAATATAATGGAAAATAAATTTATGCTATCAAAAGAAACGTCTTTAAAACTGCTTATCAATATTTAAAATTTTATTTTTTTTATTGTAGAATACATATGTATTTACAATATAAATTAAGACTTGAATCTGATAATTTACGCGTAACACAATCAATAGAAACGTCTTTAAAACTGCTTATCAATATTTATAATTTTTTATATTGTAGAATAGAATACATATGTAGAAACACTCGATTTTTAATATAAACTCGAGATTAATATTGAATAAATATTTACATAAAATACATTTTCATGAAAAAAGATATTGTTTAACATTAATAATTAATAATTAAATATATTTAACAATTCTAATAAATCACGTGATTTAATAAATATTTAATAAACACGTGAATTAAAAATTTAAAAAATACTATTAAAACAGTTTATCTCAAAAACAGTTAATTTTTGTTATTAACAAATTATACTTCGTTTCCTTATCTTATTGGATCTACTAATCATTTATGACCAGTGATATAAATTTAGAGATGGATGACATTGATATGATATCATTGAATTCCGTAGATTTCAATGATGAAGAATTCAATGAAGACAACATAGAAGTGAATCAATTATTTAATGAGATAGAAATGCCTGTTTTTATGGAAATGTCTGATGAATGCAAAGATGAACAGTTTGTTCTCGATGTTCTCAATGAATGTGACAACGGTTTTGATGATGAAGAAGAGTTCGATCATTTGATGTTACAAATGCCAATAAAACAGCTGATCAACTCTTCGATAATGTATTCAAAAGATGTTAACAACAATTCGAATCCCGAGACGACTAAAGCCAGTTCACTACAACTTAATTTGATTTCCGTTAATTTTAATGATGGCATTAAAGAAGATCAACAATTTGTTGAGATCCCAGAGATTGAGATCCCAGAGATTGAGATCCCAGAGATTGAGATCCCAGAGATTGAGATCCCAGAGATTGAGATCTTCGAGATTTATATTCCAGAGATTAAGATCCCAGGAATGAGATCCCAGAGATAGAGTTAATCAATGATAAGTGCCAAAGAGATCAGTTGGTCGACGATGTTACCAATGAATGGGAAAATGGTTTCGAGGATGAGGAAGAGTTTGATAAATTGATGTCAGATATCCAAATACAACATTTGATCAATACGTTTATAATAAATTCAAAAGATGTTAACACCAATTCAAGTCTCGAAACGGTTAAAGACTTGACGGTTCTTCTTGTGTCTCATTCATTCGGCTTTGTGTTACGCGTAAATTCTCGGATTCAAGTCTTATACTTCTTTCTTCCTGTGTCTCATTCATTCGTCTATGTGTTACACGTAAATTCTCGGATTCAAGTCTTATACTTCTTTCTTCCTGTGTCTCATTCATTCGTCTATGTGTTACACGTAAATTCTCGGATTCAAGTCTTATACTTCTTTCTTCCTGTGTCTCATTCATTCGTCTATGTGTTACACGTAAATTCTCGGATTCAAGTCTCAAATTTCTTTCTTCTTGTGTCTCATTCATTCGTCTTTGTGTTACGCGTAGAGTATCGGTTTCAAGTCTCAAATTTCTTTCTTCTTGTGTCTCATTCATTCGTCTTTGTGTTACGCGTAGAGTATCGGTTTCAAGTCTCAAATTTCTTTCTTCTTGTGTCTCATTTAATCGACAGTCAATATTTCGTAAACGATTCGATTTTAGTCGCCGTTCTCTTTCCATTTGAGATTCATTCAACCTTCTATTTGTGTCGCGTTGTCTATTGGCTTCAAGTCTTTTCTCTCTTTCTTCTGTTGTTTCCATTAATCTTCTTAATTTACTCGGTGTCACATTGTATTCCATAGGAAATTGGCTGATGTTTGTAAGTGAAATGTCAGTCAATGACGCTTCCAACTGATCCAGATTTGGTTCCATTATGTAAACACTTGTTTAAACGTTATTCAAAAAAATCCTTATATCTTTATCTGTTATGTTATAATAGGAAAAATTTATCAAAATTAAATAGTTTAAGTATACTTCTCTTATAAAATAAATCCAAATGTCCAATTGATTCCTCGAAGGTAAGGCAAATGATAGCAATATTGATGAAAATAGCAAATGAAAACAAATTTGTAGTCAAAATGAAAACAAAGTGATATTTAAATTTATATTTCACGCGTTTATTAAATATTTATTAAATTACGCGATTATTAAATATTTATTAAATCACGCGATTTATTAAAATTGTTATGTATTTAATGATAAATAATAAATAAACAAATTATTTTTCTCGTGCAATAATTAAATTAATACAATTTAAAAAATATATAATTTTTGAAAAAATTGAAAATTTTAATACAAATTGAAAATTTTTGCATTTGAGAAAATTTTACAAAAATTTAGCACAGGTAGCTAACCTCCCGGTGCCCTATGACTCATATAATATAGTAAAATGTAATTCCACAATACCTGCCTCTTTGTCCTCAAAATCTACTTGACCTCAATAATCATTTAAAATTTCCCATAGAAATAACATTGCTTTCAATAAAAAATGAAAATAAAACAATACATTTTTACATTTGAATTAAAATATGGTTGTTGATGAAATGTGCACGCATACAGACAGACAGACAGACAAACAAACAGACAAAACAAATGTCTTAAAATGTTATCTTGATTTTATTGATTTCATTTTTGTTGTTATTGTTGTATTACTATATACACTAAATATAAAATTTGATTAAATTGATAAATTAATTAATTATAAAAAAAGTTGTATAATTATTAAAAGCGAACTTTTACAAACGAGGGGGAAGGGAGGGGTAAAGACTTTAAGAACGTTCGCATTTATATAATATCTTATTTCTTGTGGTGGTGGTGGGGGGGAGGGGTAGCGGTTAGAGACAAGCGAACGTAATTTTTTTCAAATGACTACATGCGAACAATTGCGAACATATGGGGAGGGAGGGGGTCTAGATTTTTTGTGCGAACGTAATATGTGAACCACGCCTAAGCATATATATATATATATATATATATATCAAGTTAATAATTGGGACGAAAAAAAATTCAAATAATAAATTTTATTATCAAAAACAACAAAAATTATTTAAATCAAAACAAAAAACAAATCATAAGCAAATACTGTATATCTATTGTTATTATTAGTAATATAATTCAAAAATTAATTAAAAGTTTGTTGTTGTTGTCGGTGTTGTTGGACTGCTTGTTGTTGGCCACCAATTATGAATCGTTGTCGTTGTTGTCACCATGGTGGTTTTCATTATTGGTATGCTTATTGTATCCATGGTAGTTTTCATTGAGGACACGTTTTTGCATGTCTATGCCTGCATAGCGGCGCCAATGGGGGAAAAATTAAATATTAATTAATTAAATATTAATTAATTAATTATATTTAATCTTATGTTTTTT